GCAGTTTGAGGGAGGCGCAACGGGATTAAAGGGGGAGTTTTGGGGGTCGTTACAAAGTAGTTTTTGTTTTATTTCAGTTCAAAATACAAGGGAAGGGGGTGGTATGTTTTTTTTTTTTGTGTAATGTATGTTGTTTTATTTTTTGGGATGGGGAAAGGTAGGGTTATTTTTTCAAAAACCAAATTATTTTGTGTCAAAACAAAATTTTCGTTTTGTAACGAGACAACGCAGAGAAGGAAATGTGTGTAAAAAAAACAAATAAACAAAGAAATCAAATGATTAATTATTATTTGGAGAGCAAGAGAGATAGAGACAATAAAAAAGCTTACTGGGTTCTGCTTTACACAAAAAACACAGTTAAGTAATTTAAAAAAAAATAAACCAAATGAAACTTACAACAAACCCATATTTTTCGTATTTATAACAAAATCAAATTAAATATTATCCTTGCCTAACCTATATAACACCTATGCCTAAAAGTAGGCAGCATTTTTTCCTATAAAAATTTAATTAAATTACCTTAGATGGTAAAATTTTAATTTATACATATTGTAATATACATAGATACATATTTATATATTAATAAATATTAACAATAAACTTAAATCTAAAAAGTGCATACAAATTGTTTTTTTTTTTTTTTGTAAATGGGTAACGCTAGTCTTGCAGGGGAAATATATATAGTAAATTTGTTTTAAATATATACTTTGTGTGTATTTTTATGTTGATATTTTAAAATAATAATTATTATTTTTTATAAAAAAAATATTGAAAATAAATAAAAAATAACCCTGAATTTAGAAAAAATTAAAGATAAAGTTATATAGGGGCTATACCAAAACTTGAACCGATATTTATAATTTTGGGTAGGAAGAGAACTCAAAATGCAGAATTAGATACAAGTTGGTTAATAAACGTGCCCAAAATCGGCATAATATCGAAATTTGGGAGGGACCCTTATATGGGGGCTACCCTAAAAAGTTTGCCAATATTGATAATTTTTTGTAGGGAGATTGATTACCAAATTAGAACCCAAAATACCAAATTATAGACAATTCGGTTAATAAACGTGCCCAAAATCGGCATAATATCGAAATTTGGGAGGGACCCTTATATGGGGGATACCCTAAAAAGTTTTCCAATATTGATCATTTTTGGTAGGGAGATTGAATATCTAATAAGAATCCAAAATACCGATTTATAGAAAATTCGATTAATAAACGTGTTCGAAATCGGCAAATTATCGAATTTTGGGAGGTACCTTTATATGAGGGTAACCCTATAATGTGGACCAAAATTAATAATTTCTGGTAGAGAGATATGCTAACCAATGAAAACTGAAATTATTAAATTACAGCCAATTCGGCTTATAAACGTGTTCGAAATCTGGAAAATATCGAAATTTGGGAGGGACCCTTATATGGGGGCTATCCTGAAAAGTGGACCAAAATGGATAATTTTTGGTAGGGAGTGTCAAATCTCCCTAGTCGGAACCCAAAATAGCAAATTACAGCCAATTCGGTTGAAAATCGTGCCCAAAATCCACAAATAGCAGAAATTTCGTAGGTATCCTTATATGGGGGCTATCTGAAATCTTTGACCAATATAAGTAATTTTTGGTAACAACATTTACTATCCAATGAAAACCCAAAATACCAAATTTCAGCCAATTCGGTTGAAAAAAAGTGCTCAAACTTCACAAATATAGGGAATTTTGGATGTACCCTTATATGGGAGCTACCCCAAAACATGGACCAATACTGATATCTTTTGGTAGAAAGATTTGCTATCCAATGAGAACCCAAAATACCAAATTAGAACCAATTCGGTTTAAAATTGTGCCAAAACTCCACAAATAATGGGAATTTGGAAGGCTCTCTTACTTGGGGGCTACCTTAATATGTGGACCAATGTTGATAATTTTTGGTAGGGAGATTTGACACCTAATGAGAACTCATGTTACCAAGTTTCAGTCTATTCGGTTGAAAATTGTGTCAAAACTCCACAAATAATGGGAATTTAGGGAATTTTTGGGTGACTACCCTATAAAATGGGTCAATATTGAGTGGTTTTTGGTAGGGAGATTTCACACTCAGTTTAAACCCAAAATATCAAATTAGAGGCAATTCAGTTTAAAAACATTCCAAAATCCACAAAATACCGATTAATGGGAGGTTTACTTATATGGAGGCTATACGAGAACTTGGAACGGTAGATCTCATTTTCAATGTCAAATATATTCTCAAAATAGTGGCAATGTATGTACAAAATTTCAAAGCTGTATCTTAAATATTATGAGCTCTATTGTGATTTCAACGGACAGACGGACAAGGGAGATGAACAAAAAATAGTTAAAAAGGGTTTAAAATCAAATCCCTACATTTCGGATCATTGCTTTAAATTTAATTAATTAATTAAATTAAAAAGTACTATTTCTTTAAAGGCACTGGTATTTTTAGTAATTTGAAAATAATATTAAAAAAAAAATTGGAAATCAAATCTCTACACTGTTTGTAATCCGGAATATTATTTAGTTGAAAATCATATCTCTACACTCCCTATAATCCGGAAAATAATTTTCCTTAATATACTGTTCGAAAAAAAAATATTTTTTTAATAATAAAAAATAAAAATCTTAATTTGTAGGTCTCTTATTTGGAATATTTTTTTCTTCTTCAAAATCCTTTACAAATTCTAGTGAAAATAAATTTGAAACTCAAGTCCATAAATTCCGAAAAATATTGTATTTTTATAGTATTTCGATTTCTGTTAAATTTAGTATTAAAATCGAAAGTTAAAAAAAAAACACTTTAGTGCATTTCAATATTTAACTACAAAACTGTTACTAACAACCATTGAATTAAAAAAATACACACAAAATTCATAAATAAATAAAAAAATCGAATATGTAGGTATATATAGAACCAATTTCGAAAACATTTCCTTTAACCTAAAATTTTCACATGTGCAAATTACAGCTTATTTATATATAAATATATATACTTAGTATATAAATGACAACAACAAAAATGATTATATAATATTATATTATATACATCATCATATATGTATATATATAAAATAATAAAAGTGATATATGAATGGTTTATAATTTCAACAAAAAAAATATTTTAAAATAATCTAAAATTCTTTCGGGTTCATGTGCAAATGCAGTGAAGGGGGGACTACAACGTAGATGAGCTGAGCATGATGACGATGATGAGAGTATTCAACACTCTGTTAGGTGTTTGGAAATATAATTTCTAATACAAAAATTACATTTTTTTACACCAAACAAGTGTCACATGAAGAAGATGATCTTAAAATTATTTTTTTTATATTAGAAAAAAAAAAACATGATTACCCACAACACCAAGTTGAACAAAAACGTATTATACAATTGCTAAGAATAATGAGATGAATGAATGTGTTAAAGAAGAAGAAGGGGGGTTAGAAAACTTAAAAATATAGTTAGTTGATTGAGGTTATGTCTTTGGTGTATTTTGAAAATTAGATCCATTTTGATTATTTTGTTTTAGTGTGATTAGTTTGTTGGTTTGGTGTTAGAAAAAGAGAAATGTTTTTTGTTTTTGTTTTGTTCTTGACACGTACACACATAAATATATTAAAGTTTAACAACATCGATGGAATGTGAAAGGCAAAGACATTGATCATTTTGTTTTTTTTTTAATTCTTATAAAGAAAGTTATATTTTTAATTTTTAAATCCAGCCATTTGGTGTTCAAAGAGAGAGAGAGCGAGGGACGGGGAAGCAACTTCTTAATTTTTAAGAAGTGGCAAAAATACCATTTTTAAGAGGGGGTGGTTTAAGAATGGACAGGTTATTGTTGTTGTTAGTTTGTGAGTTGGACAAAAACGCATGGAGACAGGTTAGAGAGTTTTTTTGTGTTAGAAAACAAAACAATAAAACAGAAAAATAATAAAAAAAATTGTATAGGCACCTGGAATTGACCAATTTATCGTTGAATGGATCACGGGGTGGACGCTTCATGATATCGGCTTCAGCAGCTTCATAAGCCAAAGAGATGGCAGGAACCTATAAAACCGATGCCAAATACACACACAACAAAGGCATGGGTTTTGAGTCACGCACACACCGGTTTCACAAAATTTCACAAATTTTAAGGATTGAATTTTTGTTGTATTGGAATATTTGTGTATGTATGTGTGTTGTTGTAATTGGAAGAGTGTGCATTTAAGAGTGTGCATTTTGTTCATTGTAGCCCCACATTTTAAACAAATTAAGGCCAGGGTTAAGAATCACGCACACACACGTAGTACAGGTAGGTTTTCGCAGTAGAGTAGAGCACAAGAGTAGTAGTGGTAGTAGATGTAGCAGAATTACAATAGAATATATAAAAAAAGACATAACAATGAGTAAATTTTGTCAAAGAAAATTAAAAACTAATTTCTTTAAAAATTAAAAATTATAAAATAAAAACATTTTTTTAAAATAAAAATTATAAAATGAAAATAAATACAATTTTGTTTTTTCAAATGATTCTAGACCCAACTACAATGTTAAGGCATCAAGGCTTACGAACTAGCTTAAATGGTTTACGTATATCACAAATTTCTAGCCATTTACAGGTCTTTCGATTGCTGGCTCTCCACTTGGCTGGGCTAGCCTCTACTTGGTTTTCCTGCACAGGAATAAATCAAACAAAATAAATTCTCTATACCTTTCATTGACCAAATTATCAATGGCTGGATTACGTGGTCTTCTCTTCATGATATCCGCTTCGGGTCCTTCATAGGCCAATGATATGGCTGGTATCTTTTTTTACAATTTATTTTTAATATTATAAATATTTTTTTTTATAAAAAAAGTAATTTAAAAATATCACTTTCCTTAAAACTAACTTAAAAAAATGAACTACCTAAAATACTTAACAACAATTCTATTATATTTAATAATAATAAAAAAATATTCATTCAAATTTAAATAAGTGACCCTCAAGAAAAGGCCCTCAACTTACCATATCAGTACCCAAATCAATACACAAGATGGTAACGGTACCCAAAGGCAAGGGGATATCGCACAAGATGAAAGCCAAGAATGGTGAGATTTCAGGAATGTTGGAGGTCAAGGTATAAGCAATAGATTTTTTCAAGTTATCGAAAATCAAGCGACCTTCCTCAACACCGGTGACAATGGAGGCAAAGTTATCATCCAACAAGATCATGTCAGCGGCCTAAACAACAAACAAAGAAATACACAATTAAAATTCTCTCTCACTCTTTGAAATTTATGCAAATTCCCCCACTCACCTGTTTCGACACATCGGAACCGGCAATACCCATAGCAACACCAATATCAGCCTTTTTCAAAGCAGGTGAATCGTTGACACCATCACCAGTTACAGCCACAATAGCACCCATACGTTGGCAACCCTCAACAATAATCAATTTCTGTTGTGGTGAGGTACGTGCGAACACAATTTCAGTGTGATAACGTAAAATTTCATCCAATTGATCGCTGCTAACATCACGCAATTCAGCACCATGTACAACGGCAGCCTTGGCTTCACGTGGATTAACTTCCGAGACGGGAATGTTCAAACGTTGGGCAATATCTTCAACAGTCTCATTACCTTCGGAGATGATACCGACAGACTTGGCAATAGCCTTTGCGGTAATGGGATGATCACCAGTAACCATGATAACTTTAATACCAGCCGAACGACATTTGGCAACGGCATCGGGTACGGCAGCACGAGGGGGATCAATCATGGACATGAGACCGACGAAACGCAAATTGTCAATGGGGAAGTTAACATCGTCAACGTTGAACTTGAAGCCGGTGGGATATTTATCGGATGGCAGCATATAGTCGCAGAAACCCAAGACACGTTCGCCCAAACCTCCCAATTCCATGTAGGCATTGTTGAAGGCTTCCTTCATCTCTTCGTCCAAGACCTTTTCCTTGCCGTTGATGAAAATGGTGGAGCAGCGTTCCAAGATACGTTCGGGGGCACCCTTCATGACGAGCAAATAACGGGGATCTGAGGGATCTTCGGTTTCGTGAATTGAGACCTGATACTTGTTGGTGGAGTTGAATGGAATTTCGGCCAATTTCTTGTTGCGCTTGCGGATATTCATGACATCGCCGAGGGCCAATTCCATACACTTCAACAAAGCAGCTTCTGAGGCGTCACCGCTGACTTCCTTCTTCAAAATTGGAACACCTTCTTGGCCGCCTTTGAATTCAGCACGATTGCAGAGAGTGGCAATGCGAGAGAGCGCCTTGAATCCAGGGCTAGTTCTATCGTATTGGACACCCGACTGATCCTCGGTTGTATCGGCCTCAATGATCTGATTGTCGAACCACATGTGGGCGACTGTCATACGATTCTGGGTCAGGGTACCGGTCTTATCGGAGCAAATGGTTGAGGTGGAGCCCAAAGTTTCGACAGCTTCCAAATTCTTAACCAAACAATTCTTCGAAGCCATACGTTTGGCAGTTAGAGTCAAGCACACAGTTACAGTAGCCAATAGACCTTCAGGTACGTTAGCGACAATAATACCAATCAAGAAAATAACAGCATCCAACCAATGGTAACCCAAAATGAAGGCAATCACGAAGAAGGTCACACCCAAGAAGACAGCCACACCGGTAATCAAATGAATGAAATGGTGGATTTCCTTAGCGATGGGTGTTTCACCAGTATCCAAACCAGATGCCAAACCGGCAATACGACCCATGACAGTGTGATCACCACAGCTAATGACGACACCCTTGGCAGTACCTTCGACAGCGTTCGTCGAGAAGAAAGCCAAATTTTTCGTTTCCAAGGGATTCTCGTGAGTAAATTCGGGACCACGGGACTGGGGTTCAGATTCACCAGTCAACGATGAGTTATCAACCTTAAATGTACGAGCCTCAATAATGCGAATATCAGCTGGGATACGATCACCGAATTTCACTTCGACAACGTCGCCCAAGACTAAATCTTCAGCGCGGAGAGTTAATTTTTCACCCTCACGAATGACAGTGGCGAATTGGGGAACCATGTTTTTGAAAGATTCCATAATTTTTGAACTTTTTGATTCCTGGAAGAGAGAGAGAGAGAGAATGGGTTATTAGTTTGATTATGAGACAAACAGGAGAAAAGAAAACACTGAAAGGGGATTTTTGGGGGGCCAAACTGAGTGCTTAGTTTTTAACGATTATTTTAGCGGGAGTAGTAGAGCTATAATGGAGGAATTTTTGGAGAGTGTTATTGTGAGGGAGCCTTATGCTACTTTTATGGGGTTTTTTGCGGGTCTGTAGGAGCCCTAAAGTTTGGAATTTCGAAGAACCCCTATCCAGTGTTTAGGGGGTTCCATAAGAGCCATAAGTCTAGGATTTTAAAAGTAGCGTTCAGAGGGGGTCTATAAGAACCCAAGAGCGTAAATTGTTAAGGAATTTTTTGAGGGATATTTTTTAAAGAATTCTTTGAGGGTTTGCCAAGGGCCTAAGGCGTAGATTTTTTAAAGAATTCTCTGAGGGCTTGCCAAGGGCCTAAGGCGTAGATTTTTTAAGGAATTCTTTGAAGGATTGTCCCAGCTGTAAGGCGGAGATTTTTTTAAAGAATTCTTTGAAGGATTTTCCCAGCTGTAAGGGGTTTTAAAAGAATGAGGGTTTGCCAAGGGCCTAATGTAGATTTTTAAAAGAATTCTTTCAGGGATTGCCAAGGGCCTAAGGCGTAGATTTTTAAAAGAATTCTTTCAGGAATGCCAGGGGCCTAAGGCGTAGATTTTTAAAAGAATTCTTTCAGGGATTGCCAAGGGCCTAAGGCGTAGATTTTTTAAAGAATTCTTTGGGCAAATATCCTATGTGAGAGGTTTTGGAAGGATATTTTTGGGCTTATATAAATGTCCTCTGAGTTAGGTTTTGGAAGGATATTTTTGGGCTTATATCAGTGTCCTATGAGTGAGGTTTTGGAAGGATTTTTTTGAGGGACTATCTGAGTTCTATGGTTGAGGTTTTTAATCGATATTTTAGAGTGTCTATCTGAGTTCAATAAGTGGGATTTTCAATCGATATTTTTGAGGAACTATCTGAATCCTTTGGTTGAGGTTTTCAATCGATATTTTTGAGGGACTTTCTAAGTTATATGACTGATATTTTGAAATGATATTTTTGAGGGAATATTTGAGCCCCATGGTTGAGGTTTTCAATCGATATTTTCGAGGGACTATATAAGTCTTATGATTGCGGCTTTCAATAGCTATTTTTGAGGGACTATCTGTCCTATAGGTAAGGATTTCGGTTGATATTTTTGATATTTTAATAAGGAACTGAAGAAGTCCTATGAGTGGAGTTTACAATCTATATTTAAGGAACTATCAGAGTTCTGAAGGTGGTTTGTATACACAAGAAATCTAATCGTAGAGGGACAATTGAAGATTTTCATAAAATTGTTTTTCAGTATTCCAACTTACCTGATAGTATGAGAAAATACCGGTAACTATAACTACAGCTGACAATACGATACCCAAATATAAATTATCATCGGATGGCTCTTCACTGGTACTGGCCTGAATAGAATAGGCCACAAAACATAAAATAGCACCAATCCACAATAACATGGCGAAACCACCGAATAAATTCTTACAGAATTTCACCCATTCGGGTGTTTGTTTGGGTGGTGTGAGAGCATTTGGGCCATCACGTTCTAAATTTTCTTTAGCTTTAGCATGACTTAGACCCTGAAAAAGAAGAGAAAGACAACAAATAATTAGTAAATCTGTTTAATAAGGGAACTTGATGCATGAACGACTTACATTTTCTGGATGTGTCTGAAAGCGCTGATACAGCTCTTCAGGAGTGATTTTATGATAATCGATATCTAACTCCTGTTTGAGATCATCTAAATTTTCTTTTTTCGCCCCTTTAGCCGGCATCTTGCGTTTTGTCTATAAGTTTAGAGGAGAAGGAAGAATATTTCTGATTAGTTTTGAAAATCAAAATGAAATTGAAAATATTTTGAAAAAATATATTGAATATATATTTAAGGATACTCAAAGCAATAGAGTTATTTTTTTGTAGACCATTTTACCAAAAAATTTATTGTTTTATCATGCCATTTACTTTAAAGTGTGTAGTTTTGTTTACGATAAGTGCTTTAGAGTTGTTTTTACTTTGTGTTTTTTTAATAAGGCCCAGTACCGTTTTTTTTTCGAAATAAATAGTATAATTAAAAATAGGTTAATTATTGTATTCATACCAGTATTATTATTACTTTTTTTGTTGTTGTAGATATAGATTCCAAAATTATTGTAGTTAGTAATATTACCTCATCCGTTTACAGTTTTTTTTTTCAATTTTGTTTTCCAAACGGAAATGCCAACTTACCCCTTAATTTCTTTTTTTTTAAATAAAAAACCAAAAAATTAAAGCCAAAAATAAAACGGAAATACATGATAATGATGATGTTAATGGAAAAACAATTAGTAATTAAAAAAAGTGAAAACAAAATGTTATTTTCAATATCACAAATAATCACTCAACTTTAATTTAGTTACAATTTTCAGATTTTGTTTTTGTCGTGAGAATATTTAAAAATTTTGTGATACGGGGTCTAGAATTACCCAAACTGATAAACCACTAACAACAAAATTGTCACGTTTGAATTGTGGTGCAGGCAGGCTGTTAGTCGGTAGCCAGACAGACAAATAGATGAGTTTGCCAAATCAATCTTTCAAAATTGTTTTCATTTTCTATTTTGATTCTTAAAAAACAATAACAACAAAAAATAGAGTCACTACCAGTTTACGTTGTTTTCCATTTTATTTTTGTTATTGTTGTTAATTTTAGAATTTAGGTGAGACAACAACAAAAAACATACGGCAGCACCAGCAGCACCCGTAAGTTTGTTGTCAACATATTTTAATTTAATTCACAAGTGTAGAGATAGGTAGCAGCTAGCCAGCCAACCAGTCAGCCAGCGTGTTTGGTTTGCTTGGCCCACATGGCGTATATATTTTAAAATTGTATTGAATTTTGAAACGACGTCATTGATTTAAAAATAAAAAAAATTGGCAAGTCTTATCACATAGAGAAATGGTAGGAGACAGAGAGAGAGAAAGGGGGAAGAGTAAGTGAAAAGAAAGCAATTTAAATGGTATTTGAACTTTTTTGAACTAGGGAAATATTTACACAAAATTTTGAAAATATTTTCATATGAGGAAATATTGAAGACCTTTTGGACTTTTTTCTAACTCTAAGGTCTGAATTAAAAAAAAATATTTTAAGGAGGGTTTTTACAGATCAAATGCTTGGGTTTTTATTCTAAGCGACGGGCATTTTTATAGAGAATTTTTGGGAGTCTATTAAAGCTCTAAGGTGTACATTTTTTTCAAAGAATATTTTTTGAAGACTATCCAAAGGTGTGGAACTTTTTGATAAATATTTTTGAAGGAGTAGATTTTCAAAAAAAAAAAAAAAAAATCGCAGGACTATTCGAAAGTCGTATATTTTAAGGAAAAAATTGAGAACTATTCAATGGTGTGGATTTTTTTTGAGGCCAGGTCCTAAAGAGTCTCTTCAAGGTCTGGATTTTTAAGGACTATTCAAAGGCGAAGATTTTTGAGGGACTTTTTTGAGGACTATCCAATGATGTGGGTTTTTGTAAATAATATTTTTGTTGATTTACCAAAACGCGTAGATATTTGAGGGATATTTTTTGTGGACTATCCTAAGGCGTAGATTTTTAGGGACATTTTTGCGGTCTTTTTTAAAGAATATTTTTAAGGACTATCCAAAGGTGTGGATTTTTTCTGGACATTTTTTTGAGGGACTATTCAAAAGCGTGAATCTGTTAAGGGCACTTTTTTGGGGTAATATTCAAAGCCGTTGGTTTTAGGGACATTTTTGGAGGGTCTATTCAAAGGCGAAGTATTTTTTAAAGAATATTTTTGAGGACTATAAAAAGGCGTGGAATTTTTAAGGACTATTCGAAGATGTGTATTTTTTAAGGACATTTTTTGAGGACTATCCACCAAAGGCGTGGATGTTTTATGGAATTTTTTTGAAGGACAATTCAAAAGCGTGGATTTGTTAAGGTCTCTTTTTGAGGTAATATTTAAGGGTCTATTCAAAGGCGTGAGCTTTTTAATGACATTTTTGGTGTCGTGGTGTTTTTAAGGGCATTTTTTTTTTGGCTATCCAAAGGTTTGGTATTTTTTAAAGGATATTTTTGAGGGTTATCCAAAGTCGTGGATTTGTTAAGGACACATTTTTAGCTTCTATTCAAAAGCGTGTATTTTCAATGGACTTTTTTTGGGTTATATTCAAAAATGTGAGTGTTTTAATGAAAATGTTTGAGGGTCTTTTCAAAAGCTTGTATTTTTCAGCACACATTTTGGAGGCGTGGATTTTTTAAGGACACCTTTAACAAGAGGGTCTACTCAAAAGCGTGGAGTCTTTAAGGTAATTTTTTGAGGGTCTATTCAAAGTCGTTTTAAAGGACTATCGGAGTATTTTTGAAGGATATTTTTAGGCGCTTATCTAAATATTTTTAAATCCTATTTTTGGGAGCATATTTGTGCTTGGAGGGGCTACATGCGTAGTCTTAAAGCATATCTTTGAGGCCAAAATGTGAATTTTAAATTACTTTTTAAGGACTTTATTTGGGCCTCAAACGTGGATTTTTAAGACACACATTTAAAAAAAAACTATCAGATGCTAAAACATAAATTTTTGAATTAATTTTTTGAAGTATAATCTATTTTTGTAGGAAAATTATAATATTTTAGACAATTATTTTAAGCAGGATTTTTTAGCATAATTTTTGGGGGACCATCAGAACATTTTTGAAACATATTTTTGGGAGCATATTTTGAATATTTTTCGGACATATTTTAGGAAGCAAATCCGAATATTTTGAAGCATATTTTGAGAGACTATCTCAGGAATTTGTAAAGAATATTTGTGAGGGAACAATATAAATTTTTGAAAGTTGTTATAGATTCTTTAACGCAATTATATTTTTAAAGGAGTTTTAAAGCTTTTTCCTGACAATTTTCTATACATCGTTTTAAAAAGTTAATGTGAGTATTTGTGGCAATTTGTTGATCCAATAAAACTGTAATCCCTTATTCGCTAACAACATTTTTGGAGGGACATTCTGAGAATTGTAATAGATTGATTGAGTGATTAATTTGTGAATAGTAATTCTAAATTTTTAAAAAATAAATATAAACCATTACCAAATAACATGCATTTAAAAATTAAAATTTAATGGGTCACATGTTCTATGCAAATAAATGTTGCAAATAAAAATGTTAATGAAAAAATATAAAAAATAAATACAAAAAACAAATGATTATAAATAAAAATAGAAAAAAATATATACAAAAACAAAACGAAAAATAAAAAAAAATTAAGAACTGAAAATATTTACCTTGTAATGGCCATCGGCTGTAAGATTGTCGTCATCGGTTGGTACAACCGTTGCGACCCGATAGGAGTCCGCTCTCCCATGCTATCAATATGACACACATACATACAAGTACATATATATTTATGGTTTGTTTTATACAAATTTTTATATATATTTTTTGTATGTATTTGTTTGTTCATATATATGTAAGATCAGTAAGGGGGGCAACGGCGTTGTTGATGATGACAATCGACGGCAATTGGTACGGCAGACAAACAGATTCAAATCAGAAATAAGGGAACAAAATGCAAAACAAAATGTATATGGGCGCAGAAATATCAAAAAAATCAAGCATTCAAAAAAATGAGCGGTCGAGCAGGCGGCGAGCAGTAGGGCAGTCGAATCGATCGGACGGTCGGGCGCGTTTTTTGAGCATTTTGTCACAGAGACAAAATTTGTTATTTGATCGATCACATAACAACAATAACAACACAGCGTATAGAATTGGCGCAAAATAATATATAGACAACACACACACAGTGAATGGTGAAATGTATGATGGGTAAATGAAAATAAAAAAGAAGAAAAAACAAAATAAATAAATTATATGAAAAAAACAATAATATGATGTAAAAAAATTACAAACAAATTTGTATACAAAACACAAGTGATGATGATACATACGATTATATAATAATTCTTACATTGTAGAAATATAATTAATAACGAATAATAATAAATAAACATGAAAATATTATAAATAAATTGAAAAATAATAACTAATAATAAATAAATTAAGGGAAGTATTAATAAATATATTTAAAATTAGTTAACGAGTTTCTATGATAAAACAAAATTTAAGAAATTTCTAAAAGAACCCCATATTTTATTTTTTTAAAAAAAAGATATTAAAAAAAAATTATTTAAAAAATTATATTTAAAAAAAAATATATTAAAAAAATATATATTTAAAAAATTCAATTCGATTTATGTAAATTGTTTTTCATTTAATAAATGATTTTGCCTTGATAAAATCCGACTGTTATATAAATATTTTTTAATGCAATTCCAATTGGATATTGTATTAGAGTGGCATTTTGAAAATGTTTTTTTTTAATATTTGAAGTTGATTATTTTGACTTATATAAATTAACTGTTATACACACGCTTTGCCTACATCTATTGAATTTCAATGTGATTTTGGAACACACTAACCGAATATTGGAAATAAATTTAAATTTTTTTATACAAAGAAAACATGAATTATTTATTAAAAGACATTGAATTTTGTTTTCATTTAATTTTTCTTATATAAGGAAATATATTGGAAACACGTGATAAAGTTGACCAATAAATTAAAAAAATACTATTATTAAAAATAAATAAAAAAATAGAAATTAAATAAAAAATCAATTGATAAAAATAATTAATTTTTGGTATTTAAAAAACAACAACAAATATTCAAACATTAAAAATATATTCTTAAAATATGTTGTTATTTAAAAAATTAAATATTTAAAAAAATTTGTTATTAAAAAAATCAGTTTTTTAAAGAAGACATATTTTTGTAATTTAAAAAAAAAAAAAAATCAAATAACAAAATGTTTGTTTTAATGAATATTTGAATATATTTTTTAATTACAAAAATAATTATTTGTTTTTTTAAATAACAAAAATAATTAATTTTTTTATATTAAAAAATCAATTTTTTATTAATAAAAAATATATAAAAACAATAATTAAATATTTTTACTTTTAAAATATATAAAAGTAAAAGAATTGAAAAAATAAATGTGAAATATTTATTAAAAGAGATTAAAAAATACTTTAATAAATATTTCACATATATTTTTTCAATTCTTTTACTTTTATATTATAAAAGTAAAAATATTTAATTATTGTTTTTATATATATTTTATTAATAAAAAAAAATTGATTTTTATAATATAAAAAAATTAATAATTTTTGTTATTTAAAAAAAATATATATAGTTATTTTTGTAATTAAAAAATATATTCAAATATTCATTAAAACAAACATTTTGTTATTTGAAAAAATCATATATTTGTTTTTAATAAATTGTATTTAAAATATATATATTTTTAATATTTCAAATATTTTGTATTTAGAAATATATTAAAAATTTTGATATTTATAAAATAAAATATTTATTTTATTAAATATTTCAAATATATATATTTTTTTGAAATATTTAAAATAATTTTATTTAAAAAAAGTTTTCAATACTTTGAAATTTTTCTAATTAAAAAACTATTTTTTATATATATTTAAATATATATTTTTTTATTAATAAAATATTAGAAATATTGTTTATTTAATAAATTTTATTTGTTGTTGTTGTTTTAAAAATTATTTTTATTATTTTCCCTACATTGTTCTATATAGATGAAGAATATTAAAATATTTTTTTTTTATAATTTAAAATGAAATCTATTATTAATCTATATTTTATTGATTAATCAATAAAAATATTTTTATTTTGGTGAAATAAAATTTTTTTTTTTTAAATTAAAATGAAATAAAAAATCTCGTTAACTAATTTTTAATTATTTTTTTTTATATAAATATTTTAATTTCCCTAAATAAATATAAATAATCAAAAAATATATGCTCTTGGTGTATTATTTCAAAATGGATCATTAGGCTCAAATTCCAATTTTTAATTATTTTTTTATATAACTATTTTAATTTCCCTAAATAAATATATTAAATAATCAAAAAATATATGCTCTTCAAAATTCCAAATTCAATTATTTAAATCAAAAATACTAATCGAATAATAATGAATTTATTTTTACCCTGGTGTAATATTTCAAAACCCTCAAATTTCAATTTAATTACCATAAAGCAATTAAAATGAAAATGCATACTTATCTAATGCTCCAATTTATATTCCGAAAAATTATACATTTGTCCTTCCAAAATTAGCCCATCCTTAATGACAAATAAATACTCATACACACCCTTACAGTGGATTTACTATAGACCACCCCAACCCTTACCATTAAATTCTTATCAGACAAAAAAACGGAAAATGAAAAACCCATTAAAAAAGACCTTCCCTTCCGAAGCAACCAACACTCCTTTTTGATTGAGTTTACGATATCGTAAAAAATACAATACAATAATAGCAACAACAATAAAAATCAATTCCTTTTTTATGTTTGTGTCCTTGTTCCCAATATTACTACGATGAGTCATCATCGGAGACATACAAAATCGTATTTTCTTTTTGCTTATATGGATTTGGGTTTTTTTTTGTAGAGCTAAGGGTTCGCTTGGTTGGCAGGGTAATGATATTATTCAAAAGGTCAAATCAGTCAACCCCCCACTTTTCCTTGTGGAGTGAGGGTTGAGGGGGTTCTCTTTTGGATTTGTCATGTTTTTTTTTCAAGTTGCTTAGTAATTGTTATGAAGCCAATAAACCAAAGGCTGACGCATGTCCTTTTGGTATTTGGGTTAGTTTTAAGGACACGTGTTTTATATAATGTATATAAACAAGATATGGGTATATAGAATTTTAAATAATGTTTTATAGGAAGTAAGGATTTTTTTTTCTCAGAAATTAAAAACAAGTAAAAAAATATTTGTTTTTTGTTTGTGGCAGAATTATTTTTTTTATTAATTATAAAAGTGTCTAGACAATTTTTAATATTTCTTTTATTATAATTTTTTTCCATAGATTTTTTTTATTTAACAATTTTTGAGGCTAACCCCCTTTGAATTTTTATTTGCATTGACTTTTGTGGTAGAAATATTTTTTATTTATGGGTATATAGAATTTTAAATAATGTTTTATAGGAAGTAAGGATTTTTTTTCTCAGAAATTAAAAACAAGTTAACAAATTTTTTTTTGTTTGTGGCAGAATTCTTTTTTTTTATTAATTATAAAAGTGTCTAGACAATTTTTAATATTTCTTTTATTATAATTTTTTCCATATATTTTTTTATTTAATAATTTTTGAGGCTAGCCCCCTTTGAATTTTTATTTGCCATGACTTTTGTGGTAGAAATATTTTTTATTTATTTATTAAAAAATTTGTCTAGACAATTTTTAATGTTTTTTTATTATAAATTTTTTGTTTCACTGAATTTTTTTTAATAATTTTTGAGGCTAGCCCCCTTTTTTTGCCATGACTAACCGCCTGTCAGCCAACCACATGATTTTTTTTTTCTTAATGACTCGACTTGCCCCCATTACAATAAAGGGGTAGGGGATGGGGTGTTATAGGCAACAAATCAATTATGGGTATTTATGTTATAAATAATATTATAAATCAATTAAACACCCCAATATTAATCAATTTCTTTGAAGCTTTTTTGTCATTATCTCTCTTTGTGGATAGCACAAAAAGCCTCCCAGCCAGCCCGACAACAATGTCATTGAAGACATTCAACTTCAAAGGAAAAGAATTTTCATAATGTACACATGTACATACATATATAAAGAAAACAATCAACAAAATTGAAATCCAGTCAAACAAAGCGCAAAAAAAAATAAATAAAGCGCATTGACTGACAAACACACACACAGACATGATGATGATGTGCATACATACCGACAGACAAAGTCGACATCATATATAAACCATAATTACAAATCATTTATCACAATAAAATAAAAAAAATGTTCTTGGAATTAAATTCTATATATATGACGCACACATATATGTATATACCAGCAACGTACACAGGATTTATATATATGAAAAAAATCGCTGTTACACACACATACGTCCCTGGTATATACGTATAGAAACAATTTCGAAATTTAATCAAAGATATTTTTTTGTATGGTAGGCCAGCGACTGTCAAGCTTGGGTTTTTTTTTGTTTTCTATATAAATATAGGTAAGTAAATATATGTATATATGTACATATATGTAAACATATTGTAGTCTAGTTATATTTATTTTTACATTAATATGACTTGGAAATTAATGAATCATTTTTGTATTTAATTTAAGCTAAGTAATGTTGACAACAAATACCAAGATTAAGTTGAACTTGAGAGAAAGGGATAGAGAGCGAGAGTGTGGAGCGTGCATGTGTGGAGAAAGATTAATTGTGATCAATTTTTGA